CCGGAAGAGTCATCAACATCTTATTCTTGTTGTAATTCAACCGGAATTGCTTGAAGCTCTTCGGCAAAGACTGGAGCACTATATCGACCTGGGTTTCCCCTTCAATAAAAGCCCGAAGAACCTCCAGCTCATTCAGCTGGGCCATCATAGCAAGAACATGTTCCCTTATGGGAGTGCCCTCACGCATGGTCATGTTCATCAGAACCCTCATGGCCTCTTGTCGGGCAGCCCGCGACTGATGACCAAATAACTCCTTGAGATTGAGGAGCATCTCTGCTTCAGTGTTCATAGACTGGTGTTGATGTTGAAGTACATTTGAAAAAGATGCCAAGATGTAACACTTCGTCATCTCGTCAGCCTTTTTCTACCGAGCATACTTTTGTTTCCCTTAGTCTGGTGCATTGTCAGTAGGCACAGCTGGACAAGCCTCAACAGTAGCAAATTTGTACCCCTCAGTAGTTAACACAATATCCAAGTTCCTTTTTCAGTCAATATAATTGTGACCAACAAGTTTGTTTTCTTTGAGAATTACGAACAACAGATTGAAAGACATTTTGAATTCCTGGAATTATGCAAACATAGTGTTTACCCAGTAAAGTAGTTTTGAAATTTAAACATTAAATATGATCCCATGTAACAATATTCAAATATATTCACCAACACCTCAAAGCATTGAATCCCTGCAGGCCACGGAGTGTGGACGTCTACGGTTCAAACATTCGCAAGAGGAGAGATAAATCCCATTAGCTTAACATACTGCCAAGCAGTACTTAACTAATAGTCGGTCCATCTTTTGGCCATCGCAATTAACTTGTAAAATAATAAAAACTACATTTTCCTTTGGGAATATCTATTTGCACTTTAAGTGTAACCCATTAATTGGTTCTAAGTTTACTATCAAAATTATACGTCCACCTTCGGGTGACCCGTACGCTTTTGAAATAGCTCACTATAACCATCCCAAAGGAGATTTCTCATTATGAACTATGAAATAAAACTTCCTTTGGGGTCAAATTAAATCACTTCACTGACAAACCTATAATGGAGGCCTTGTATGTAATTTATTTCACCCATTACACACTTAATATAATTTTTATTTACGGGATTTTCCTAAACATGCTCCTAATAATCCGATTTGCACATGATCAATCACATAAAAATATGCATGATTAATAAGCAATAATAAACTAGGAATTATAATCCAACTATCATGGCCATTAATCAATCTCTAATGTTACGGAAAGAACACAATCATGTCCTTGTTGAGTGTGTTTTCCGATTTAGGTATTGGAACTCCCCTTTCGCAGTGACTCCCACTGAATTGGTCGTCTCCGGGAAAGTCGCCATTGGATCATCACCATGGCATCCGTGTACGTGTTTATCGCCTCGCCCCGTCAAGGTTGGTCCACGCCCTCCGGATCAATAACGAATAATATAAACAACAATTACATAATTCATCCTATGACCCACGAAGGAGTCGTACATGAGTTTCTATGAAAGCAATAAACTATGCGGTGTCCCACCGCGCGAATAATTTATTACAAGCATTCACCAACCCAAAAGTTCCTCGACATGTCCGAGTTATGTGTTTACCTTGGGAGGTGGAGCCATTTCATGGAGGAGTGCTAAGCAAAAATCACCTGCAAAAACTTATTGCAATTTCTAATCTACTATGTCGCTGCGTCTGTACGCACATAATTCATGTAAACAGGTGAAGTCCAAATTCAAATTGTGCACGTGGTTGAATTAAACCTGGGCTCTGATACCAGTTATTAGGTTCTATAAGGAACGTCAAACAACATGCACAGTATTGAACTTATTGAAATAAATTCTGACGCTGCGGAATCTATAGTTAGGATGTGGACATACCTTTGAAAATTTTTGCCGACTCAGAGACGATGTAGAATACCATTGATGTAGTTCATCTGAACACCACAATCTAATGGGCAGATAGATTTGGCCTTTACTCGATTCTAATCGAGACGTCGGACATAACTCGGTCGCACGGTAGCGGGTCTCGGCGTCGGGAGCAACAGGCTGGTCGCGAACGGTGGTCGCGGTCGCTGGCAACGTATGCCGGCTGTTGGCG